ATCTATCTATCTATCTATCTATCTATCTATCTATCTATCTATCTATCGCGTGCTTTGCCAAACCCTTTTAAAATGATCTCAAGGAAAAGTGGTTCTTCTTTATCTTGGATTACAGGGTTAGGTCTAGGAGCTGATGCATTAACATCTCCTGTCTGATTGATGCCCCTTGGAAGTATTGTGTTATTGCTGACCAGGGATTATAGGAGTTGAGATCAAGTCTTGCCAGATTGGAAGAGGCTGAGTCCAGTGAAAGCCAGGAATTCCACTGCTAAGAGCAGCTGATGGCCTTCGCTTTCCTAATCAAACTGCATTCTTTTACACCAGGGGTTTCCAAACTTGGCCACTTTAAGACTTGTGGACTTTAACAGCCAGCCAGCATCGCTGGAGAGTTCAAGTCCACAAGTCTTAAAGTGGCCAAGTTTGGTGACCCCTGTTTTACACTGTCACAGTGCAGAGTTGGTAGTGTTAGGTCACAATGTCACAGTTCATGGTGAACCTAAGCAAGTAGCTCGTGAGACTACTGTCTAAGACCTGTTTATAGTTCTTTTGGCTAATCGGCAAACTAAACTTGCCAATTACATTTTAGCCCAGTGTATTCTGTGAATGAGGGATGCGCTAGCTTAATGGCTAAGACGCTGAGCTTGTCAATCAGAAATGTCGGCAGTTCGAATCCCTAGCGCCGCATAAATGAGTGAGCTCCCGTTACTTGTTCCAGCTTCTGTCAACCTAGCAGTCCAAAAGCATGTAAAAAATGCAAGTCAAAAAATAGAGACCACTTTGATGGGAAGGTAACAGCTTTCCATGCACCTTCGGTGTTTAGTCATAGCCATGCCAGCCACATGAACATGAAGATGTCTTCAGACAGCGCTCTTCAGCTTTGTAATGGAGATGAGCACCGCCTCCTAGAGCCAGAAACGACTAGCATGTATGTGTCAGGAGAACCTTTACCTTTACCTCATTCTGTGAATGGATCCCATGGAATTAAGTTTATATTTCAGCATCTCATGCAATCCCAGAAAATTGGTTTCATGGAGCAATTTATAAGAAGGTAGGGCATGAGGATATTGTCTGCCTCTGATATTCAGGTGGCCTTTTAATAAATGTTACATGCTTGCTCAAGAATAAGACCTGCTCTATTAAATGAGTTTTGTTTAGATCGGGGTGTCAAACTCAATTTCATTGAGGGACACATCAGGATTGTGTTTGACCTGGGCGGAGGCCAGGATGAGTATGGCAGTTTCAAGTCTCTCATGTTGGGGGTACCTGTGGCAGCCCGAGCACTCTACCAGCGAAAACGGGCTCCCAGGCTCCATTTTCAGCCACGATAGCCTCATGTAACCCTCTGCCAGCGAAAACAGCACTCAGGGCCAGTCCTTCGCTGTTTCCAGGGCAGCCTTGTGGACCAGATCTGAGCACCCCATTGGCCAGATCCAGCCTGTGGGCCTTGAGTTTGATAACCCTGGTTTAGATGGAAGGCCAGACCTTCCTTAATCATCATTTACAGAATAAAACACCTTGCCGGTTATTTCTCCAGTTAAATGTGGCCACTAGTTTAATCTATCTTTTTAAGTAAAAATGTACATGCTAATCTCAGAAAAAGATTTAGTACAACCATTAATGATAGTTCAGTTTGAAATCAATTTGCTCCTCTGTATCAGTTTTCAAAGGCAGCACACTATTTCAGCTAAAAATTAACTTGGCTTCCTACCCTTTTTTATAATAGGATGGTGGGGTGCCAGGGAATGGGGGAGAAATTGAAAGAATACAGGATTGCAGCTATTGACACAATTTTCAAGTGGGTTGAGAATTTTAAGGGTTGATGTTTGAAGATTAAAGTTTACAATTACACCAAGCCATGGTTAGCTGAACAAGACAAAGTAGCTCCGTTCACACGCAAAGCAGCAAAATCATAGTTTCCAAATTTCATTGTGCTAACTTTAACACAAGTAAACCACATTGCGGTTTATAATACATGATCCTTGGGTAAAGGAGAAAAAAGTACTTCTTTTTATCCAGTTATCCTCAACTCTTGTAACAGGTTGGGCTACAGACTCAACTATAAAATATATAAAACCTGAAAGTTTTTCAATAGGCATAGAGAACGGAAAGAAGCTGCTTTAATGAATAGTAGAAAGGCATGGGTGCATCCAGTCTGAAACATTTCTTCCCTTCCAAATCATTTTTGAAGTATGCCTTAAATCTATTCTGTTTGTTCCTTTATTTCTGCTTTGAGCAATCTCTGGGTTAAAATATTAATTTTCATCTATGAATACCAAAACTTTATTATTTATGCCATGACTGATCTGTCCAATCTGTACCTCCAAACTTTGTGTTTGAGTATTAAAAGTTGCAGTATTCAGTCTCTGAGCTGTTGTCCCTAAGGAATACACACTCCATGAGTGTGTATTCATTCATTCCTGTATTCAGACATTTATCTTACAGGTCTTGTATACAGCACCAACTTCACCTCTAGGTAGGTAATAATAAAATAACACAATAAACTAGATAATCAATAAACTGAGTCAATTTGGTATAACATTTAAGGTTCTGGATTAGAAGCCATAAGATTGTGATTTCTAATCTTTCTTTATGCATAAAAGCTATATAGGTGACTTTGAGCCAGTCACACATTCTCTCTCTCCCTCCCTCCCTCTTTCCCTCCCTCTCCCTCTCCCCATTAAAGAATCTTGGGGGGGGGGGGAGGAAGAGGGAGATTTATGTATGCCATATTGCATAAAATAAATGTGGATAAAAATCAAAGACCCATAGTAAATATTCAGTTATAAAGATAAAGCAACTAAAAATTTAAAAAGTAATCAGATTTGGCCATTAACAAAAGTGAAGCAAACATAGCCAAGAGTTCTTATCTTTAGTTTGTTTTTTCAGTCTACTTGTTGCATACTGAGTTTAGAACTTAATGTATTTAAATATAGGCCTAGTTCTTCACAAGTTACAGTCTAATTGTCTCATTCCAAAGCTGGAAGCAATTTCTGTAGAAGTAAATGCTCCAACAGACCAAGAAATCTTTCATATGGAAAAAATGATTCAACAATGAAAGTTGTGCTCATTTGTTTTCTCTGATCTATGTGTTATCTATTTGAGAATAGGAGAGATAAAGTTAGATACTGAAATTGTCTGAAATATGAAGCTAGACTCCACCCCCCACCCCCCCAAAAAAAATTATGCTGCAAATTGGGTGTAGCTTTATATATCTAGTGTATAATGTTTTAAAAAATTCAAGCAGCATATGTAAAATATAGTATGATAAGTTAATTGATGGTGCCAAATGTGTAAAAGACTAATATAATCATAACCATTAGGTGTGCTAGCTGAAGTGTACGGTATAGGAAATTTAGATCAACAAGTTGGCAGTCTGGAGAGCATCGGGTTGCAATTCTTTGGTGTGATTTCCAGCTAGAGAAATACATTCATGCTGTGGTGCCTGTTTATAGGATATTTACCCTTCTGAAAATACATATTTTTTTTTTTAAAAAAAACCTATCATATTGAATTGAAATAAACAAGATTGCTATCCAGCTTCCTGGTTTTCTATTACTAAGAGATCCGATTCGGTCTAATGGTTAAGGCCCCAGGAAAGAAAGTGGGAGAGCCTGAGTTCCAATCCTGCCTTAACCATGAAAGCCAGCTGGTTGACCTTGGGCCAGATTTAACCCAACCCACCTCACAGGTTTGTTATTGTGGAAAAAATAGGAAGAGGAAGGTGTGATGGATACCTTGATTTGTTTGAAAAAATAAATGAAGGATAAGGGATATGCTTGAAAATAAATATACATAAAGTTGGATTGTAAGGATGGGGTCTAGATTAAGCCAATTGGTCTAGTTCCAATATATTGAATGTTAAAAGCTAGTAATTATGGTGTTTCTGCTTATTGCATGCAGGACAATCAACATAGAGTTTGGATCCAGACTTAAATATTTTCTGAATGAAAAAGAATGTTTTATAAATCTTCTCTCTAAAAGTTTAAGAACAGAAACCTTGATTCACTAAATGGAGTTCTCTGATACTGTGACATCCATTAGTATGACACTAACATGTCAGTGGCTGTTAGCATGCTAATAAGAGCTGATGTGTTACATTATGCTATTCATAATAATGTGCAGTAAACATTGCCCTGTTGGATTGGACACCTATTGCATCTAGTTTAGCAATCTGTTCTCATAATGACCAACCAGCTGCCCAAGGAAGCCCCCTAATTTCCAGCAGATGGCTTTCATGGGCAGTAACATTGTTTTACAATCTGCTGCTAGGGAATTTGAAATTCAACTTCCCTATAACACTAAGCATACATCCGTCACAGATACTAGAAGCTTACAAATACTCCCACTCAGCCTTGAAGTTTGCCAGTAGACAGTTCTTGTCTCTCTGCCCAGCCTAATATACAAGATGGTTGTGAAATAAAATGAATTGTTACAGTGAACATATGTCCTTTACTATAAAGGACAGCCTTTTACGGTATTTGAGAAAGCTGTTCTTCAGATTATAATTATTCAAAAGTTCACATTTGTCTTTTATTTTGGTCATTTAACTTGTGTCATACAAATGATACCTCTTAATGCCTGAGCTTTCGCATTCATGTGAAAAAATAGGGAAACTGAATTCTTTAAAAAAATAAATTTACATATACTCTTTGATTTTAAATATTTTAATATGCATTTTTGTAGTTTTTCTTCATTTGCTCTTGAATTTGCCCTTATGTAAGCAGTTAAGCATTTTTATCTGCATGAACCTCTTTCAGATTTGCCCCTTTTTCAGGTTTGTCCTTTGTTTTTTTCCAAGAAAATATGTTCACTGTTATGGTGAGATAATTGCTAGCTTCCACTTTTACAAGAAGGCCAAAGTATAAATAGATGGTGAATACAGATTTATAATTATACAGAAGGAATCCCTTCAGAGCAAAATATGCACCCAAGTAATATATCCTTGTTTTTCCTTAATATGTTGCTATGCTTACTTTGATATAAGGTGTGTTTGTATACTACCATAATCTAGGTACAATTTTGTGTTCAGATTTAGGCCTATAAAACCTTTGAAACACAGCTTTATTTATTTTTAATAATTTGAAAATAATGGACACTTTCCCAGGAACCAATGAGATGTTCAAAATATGTTGCAGTGGGAACTGTACCAAATCTGTTTACAGTACTCTATTTTCTACCCTAGCAGTTTTTCCATGTTTTCTAACATTGAGTCATACTTCTGTGACTCTTTACTGAGGCTGTGGCATAGGTTCTCCTAACTCTGCTTTTCCCCAAAAATATTATTTTGCATTTCAGAAAATCCTGCCATTTCTGACCTCAGAAATGTTGACATTCAGATTAGTTTTAGTACATAGGGCAGATAGCTAAGGTCTTAAAAACTACAATATCATTAAAGTGAACATGCTTATGTACAGATAGTCCTCGACTTATGGCCACAATTGAGCCCAAAATTTATTTTGCTAAGTGAAACATTTGTTAAGTGAGTTTTGCCCTATTTTACGACTTTGTTAAGTAAATCACTGCAGTTGGCAAATTAGTAACACAATTGTTAAGTTAAACTGGTTTCCCCATTGACTTTGCTTCTCAGAAAGCTACAAAATGTGATCACATCACACACCCCGGACACAGCTACCACCATAAACATGAGTCAGTTGCCAAGCATCTGAATTTTGATTAGGTGATCATGGGAGATGCTGCAATGGTTGTAAGTGTGAAAAACAGTCATGTCACTTTTTTCAGTGATGTAACTTTGAACAGTCACTAAATGAACTGTTGTAAGTTGAGGACATGTATTGCTACTTGTCTTGGAAACTTAATTCTGGATTGACTTTATTATATATATAAAACAGTAATAAGAAATTTTGCTTTCAAATGTGGTGAAGTGTATAACACTGAAGTTATTCCTTGTAAGCTCTACCAACTTAAAGAAAAAGCTCTCTCAGATCTTACTCTTGTTCTTCTTCTCAATCTCCAGGACAAGCGTTGTTCATCCTCCTGTTAACATCAGCAATCTCACTCCTTGGAGGACTGATCTTTGGATATGAACTTGGAATCATCTCAGGAGCACTGTTGCAGCTGCAGGAGGTTTTCCATCTTCGTTGTATTGAGCAGGAGGTCCTTGTGAGTGCCTTACTCATTGGAGCTCTCATAGCTTCTTTGGTTGGAGGAATCTTTATTGATCGGCAGGGAAGACGGAAAGCAATATTGCTCAGCAATGCAGTTTTGCTGTGTGGCAGTCTCATCCTGACACTTTCTAGGTCACTTATTTGGCTGGTGGGTGGGCGCCTGACTGTAGGTTTTTCCATTTCTTTATCATCTATGGCATGCTGTATATATGTCTCTGAAATGGTGGCTGCCCATCAGCGAGGACTTTTGGTATCCCTTTATGAAGCTGGCATCACTATGGGCATCTTACTTTCGTATGCACTGAATTATATCTTTACTGACACACCTGAGGGATGGCGATATATGTTTGGCTTGGCTATTGGCCTAGCCGTCATCCAGTTTGGCAACATCCTGTTCCTCCCCAACAACTCCAGGACTTTCAAGGCACGCCACAGTGTGACTCATAGTAACCTCATTCAACCTCATGAGACTGAAGATGGTGAAGACATAGCATTGCCATGCCCCGTGGAGAAGGATTATTCTCTTGTAGATCTCTTCAGATCAAAGGACAATATGAGAAACAGGACTTTGGTTGGTCTAGGATTGGTTCTCTTTCAACAGTTCACTGGACAGCCCAATGCCCTCTATTATGCATCGACTATCTTCCGTTCTGTAGGATTTCAGACGGATTCCTCTGCTATCCTAGCCTCTGTTGGTCTAGGGGTGATGAAGGTGATCGCAACTCTGTTTGCCATGTGTTTTGCAGATAAGATTGGCCGAAGGGTATTGTTGATGGCTGGATGTTTGGTGATGGCTTTTTCAGTTATGATTATTGGCCTGGCCAGCTGCTCTGTTCCATTAGATATGGTTAAAGACTGTGAAACACTCATAGATTCAAACAATACTTCCTTCAGTTCACCTCCTCTTCACATAAATTCAGTTTCTCCCCAACCAGCTGCTTCCCATTTTTTATTGACAAAAGATACTAGTGAAATAAAAGTTGAATCAACTTTTGCTATCATGAGACCAGCAATCAATGCTAAAATGCTTATCAATAATAAAAGTGGAGAAAAAGGAGCAACCATTACATTAGAAACTGAGCAAACTCCATTTCTCAACCAATCACTGAAAGAAAAAGAACAGGATGCCAATTCTTCAATCAGTGGGACTTCTTCCAAACGGCACTTGCTTCTAAACTGGATTACACTCCTGAGCTTGATGGCTTTTGTAAGTGCATTCTCAATTGGATTTGGTCCAAGTAAGTATCTTCCTGATTTCACATTTCTTGTCCTAGGGCCCTTTTACATAGATGGACCTGTCTATACGTGAAGGTGTTTTGAGTTTTAATAAATAGTTTATTATGTTTGTTTGTTGGGCTTCTGTGCTGCCCAATCAGTTTGGCTCTGAAATGGCCTGCAATTATTCCTTACAGTATTAAAATTAAAATCTATATATATAAAAGCAAAATACCACTCGTGCATCATCACAAAATCTCCAGAACTGGAAGCCTACAAACTTGAAATTTGGCACATATGTTTCTCTTGGCTTCTAGGTGCTCACTAAGAAAGGATTTTTTAAAATGACCATCAGAGCCTTAGTATTTTGTATATTATTATTATTAACATGCTCTGATGCTAAGTAGTTCTATTCCCCCTCCCTACCTGAAAAAAAAATGTTTTCCAAATGTAAAGCACAAGCAGAGGAGAGAAGTTTCAGTTTTAGTTTCACAGTAGCAACCAGCTTTAGTACAGAACAGTTGCGCTAAGCCAAGCCCAGGCTCCTTGCTGTCTCCTTGTTCACACAACAAATACTATTTCACTTTCCAAACAGCCCTAAACTCTCTCACACACTGACAGGATGCTAGCCAGATGAATACTGATGGATGATGGTAGGCAGAGGCAGAATTTTCCCCCTTATTTTCCTCCCCAAAAAGTAAGCCCGACCACATAGTTTCATAGCAAAGCACGGGTATCAAGCTAGTTAGAATATAGTTGTGTGTGCCATAATGGAACAAGTGAAGTAAATCCTTTGATTCATGAATCTATACATGCAAACCATAAATGTATTTGCAGCTTCAGCAGGAGTTCCTATTCTTCATTAGAGTACTCCATTATAAAGAGGGTCAGGAGTGGGGGGGGAAAGAGTGTTCATTAAAAAAAATAACCCAGGAAAAGAACTCTTAATTTTCAGTCATTGGCCTCTTAATTAAATCTTATAGGGCTTATTCTGGCTAAACATGAATAAACTTTTGGGTGGATAATTTTCTGGTCTTCCAACTCTGTGTTCACTTCAGAGATGATTTTAGACCAGGGTAGCAATCTTATGCCCAGGAGCTTCATTTGAAAACAAAACAAAAATGAAACCGCTTGGCTTCCAAAGGCCACAAGGTTTAGGGCAAGTAACATGAGAAGTTTGGGCGGGGGGGGGTTTGTTATATTAAAATTCCATTACTCTGCAGAAAGACAAGCAGCAAGTTTATCCAGTTCCCTTTGGGACAGGTCACATAGGAATCCATGGTTTATGCACCTACCACATGTCTTAGACCCATGATGGCGAACCTATGACGCAGTGGCACACAGAGCCATCTCTCCAGGTACACCAGCTGTCACCCGTTGCTCTTCTGAGTTGCAGTACTCCCACACACACACGTGCACGCACTCCCATTTCAGCACTCGGTGCCGAAAAGGTTGGCCAACACTGTCTTAGACTATTGGTCTGTCTCACTTTAAATGCTAAAGACAAGCTTTTTCCTATGCTTTGGCACTAAGCTAAGCACCTTGTCTTGTTCCATTCAATAATTGGAATCACTGGCGTTTTTTCTCTCTGACACACACACTTTCTGAAAGAGTTCCTTTTACTTATCTATTCCAGGAAGTAAGCACTGTGTTCAAACGTTATTTATTTAGTTAAGCAAACATAGCTATGGATAATATACATTTGCCAATTTATAATTCCACAGTTTGCAATTTATAATTCCACAGTTTGCAAATCAGTTGAGGCGTTAGTACTATGAACAGTGACCCCAACATATTTTGTTTGCCTCCTTCAAATATTTGGAAGTTACTTGAATGAAAGAGGAACCTGTGTTGGCCAGTTATTAATCAGGCGAGGTTTGCATTTGGTTAAAAGAAAAGTATTATTTCAAGAAAAGTTGAAGTTCAAACTAGCTGGTTTTTATTAACTGACAGTTTAATTGGTTTATGTGATTTCTGCACATTGCTACTTTTCTTTTCAGATGCAGAGTGGTTTACAAAAGAAAAATTTTAAAACAGTCTTAAAGCAGTCACAATAAAACCAAAATGTTTAAAACCTAATAAATACAAACATTCAAACTCATTTACCTTTTTAAAAAAAGGAATAAAAACACTGGTCATCTTAAAGTGAATCTATTCCTAGAGTAATTGTTATCTCATAAATTGTTGGGTGAATAGACATGTCTACAGTTATTTTCAGAAAGATAGCATAGGTGCTAGCTAAACACCTTTCTGCAGTTTCATAATTGGAATGCTATAACCAAGTACTACAAGTGCTGCTCCAAGACATTGCCTGTGAACTGATCTCATTGGTGGAACCACAAGTAGGGCTTTTATCTTCATTATTTGGGCCAAGCAATCCCACAAAGAAATTGATAAGACCTTTAATGAATGAATCTGATATTGACTTCTACATTATTTTATATTATTCATGATCCAGCCATTTACCATGGTCAATTTCTTGGTCTTTTTCTTGGTAATTTCTTTTGAAAGGAAGAATGATATTCATATACTTGAAAAAGCAGTCCACAACTGCCCTCTGGTGCAATGCATTCATTGGTCCAGCCTTTTTATTGATGTTCTCTAGATGGATTAGAACTGTAACTAGAACTCTGTAATTTCTAGCCATCAGAGTCCCTCTTGGTTATTAAAATGACATGGGACACTTCTGTATTTACTAAGAATGCACCTACTAATACAGTTTTCCAGAATGAAGAGAAAAGGTAAAATCCTCCCTAACTTGAGTTGACATCTGGAGACTACATATTCCATGTCCATATTGTTTTCTTACCAGTGAGGTGAAAGTTTTTTTCCACTGCCTTTTGGTATTTTTTATTAGTTCCCATTCTAGAATAGAATAAAATAGAACAGCACAGCACAGCACAGCACAGAACAGAACAGAACAGAACAGAATAGAATTCTTTATTGGCCAAGTGTGATTGGACACACAAGGAATTTGTCTTGGTGCAAATGCTCTCAGTGTACATAAAAGAAAAGATACATTCGTAAAGAGTCAAGAATCATAAGGTCAACACTTAATAATAGTCAAAGGGTACAATAAGCAGACAAATCATACTAGGAAACACTCAGTATAAATCATAAGGATACAAGCAACAAAGTTACAGTCATACAGTCACAAGTGGGAGGGGATGGGTGATAAGGAGTGATGAGAAGATTAATAGTAATAGTAATGCAGACTTTGTAAATAGTTGGACAGTCAGTTTATCTGCCCAGAGGTAAACTGACATTGACTGACATAACCAGAAGGTTGTTAGAAGAAGCAAGAAGACGGCTGGATAAGGACCAACTGAGGAAGGAACAACCACAAGAAGAGGATTTGTGTTCGACTGCCTATACTGTTAGGAAATGTTTTTCTTGTGGGGCTAGGGGACATATAGCTAGATTCTGTAAGAAGGGAAAATGACAGAATACTGGTAATCACCAGAAGGCTAAGAAGAATGTTAGTTTAGCTATGTCTAGCAATTCAACTGTAAACCATGATTTGTGGGTTGTTGATAGTGGAGCATCGCAATGCATTACTAAAGATAGAAAAAGATTTATGAAGATGTCTACGAGTAAACAACATGTATTATTGGCAAATGGATGGAAGATGAAGGCTTCAGGTGAAGGTACTGCATATTGTTCTTGTATAAACATTTAACTATGTTATATGTACCTAAACTGAAATTTAATTTGCTATCAGTAAGGGCTTTAGTTAATCTTGGTTATGTAGTAACCTTTAGGGGAGATAACTGTATAATAGAGAAAGAAGGTAAAAGTGTTACTGCTACTTTAGAGAATGATTTATATGTGATACATGATGATCAGTTGAAGATGGCTAACTCAGTTTATAACAATGTTAAGCCACATGCTGAATGTATACATTTACTGCATAGACATCTGGGGCACATAAATTTCAAATGCTCAAACAAACTGTTGAATTGTCAGAGGGAGTAAAATTGAAACCCTGTAGCAAGTATTTAAACTGTAATGCTTGTAGCCAAGAGAAAAGTAAGGTTACTCCTGCAAACAGACTAAATGGGTTTAAGACCAAAGAACCTTTAGAGGTTGTTTTTGCTGACATAATTGGTCCTAAGAAACCTAATTTAGGAGGTGCCTGCTATATTTTGAGTATTATGGACCATTACTCACAATACAGTTTCTGCTATCTTATGAAAAACAAAACAGAAACATTCCAACATTTCTTTAACTGACTAAGGTTTGCTGAGAGAAAAATGAGGAGTAAAGTAATTACTTTAGTTACTGATAATGGGACTGAATTTATTAACAAAAGATTCCAAACTATGTTGAAATTGGCTGGTGTCGAGCATAAATGTTCTGCACTTTACAGACCACAACATAACTTGTTTGTAGAATGAAGAGGGCAAACATTACAAGCCATGGCCCGCACTACATTATTTGATTCAGGTTTGCCTGAAATATTGTGGGGTGAAGCCATAATGTGTAGTAACCATGTTTTAAACAATGCAGTTAACACAACAACTGGTGAATTGCCATTCACTCGTTGGCCTGGCAGAAAACCAAATTTAAGTTATTTACACACATTTGGAGTTCCAGCATGGGTGCATATTCCCTCACAAGTAAGACTGAAAGGGCAACATAGAGCTAAGAAGTTATTTTTTGTAGGTTATGAAGCCAACCATAGATCGTTTAGATTTTGGGATCAAGGCACAGCTCATGTTTATTGTAGTGCTAGTGCAAAATTTCTTGAGCATGTTGGGTGGAATAAACTGGAACAGGAATCCAGCAATGATATTATTATTGACACCCAAATAGCCCCTAAAGATTAAATAAGTAAACCATGAATAGCCATTAAAGGGGAAAAACAGGTACAGGAGGAAGTAGAACAGGCACAGGAGGAGGTAAAAGAACAGGAGCAGGTGGCACAGGTGAGTCCACCAGTAAGCCCTGTATTACCAAGACGTTCAACCGGAGTAACACGACCACCTGATAGATATCAGGCTAGTGTTGTATGCCAAGTGAATACAGTTCCAAGTAATTATAATGAACTAAAACTGTATCCTGTTAAGGATCAGGCTGCTTGGCAGGAAGCAATGGATAAGGAACTGGAATCATTAAAAATTTGGAAGTATATGAAAACATTAAGTTACCACCAGGTAAACGTGCCATAGGATGTAAATGGGTTTATAAACTAAAGACAGGTGTAGATGGGACTGTTACCCATAAAGCCAGGTTAGTAGCACAAGGGTTCAATCAGACAGCAAATGACTATGATGTGGTGTTTGCACCTAGTCTAAAGGCTACTACATTAAGGGCAGCATTAGTGTGGGCAGCTAAGGAGAAATACATGATAAATCATTTGGTTGTAGAGACAGCATATCTGCATGCACCATTGCAACACACTCTATATTTAAAGAAACCTTTAGGTATTAAAAATGATAATACAACTGATTGCTGGAGACTGAAAAAGAGTCTTTATGGCTTGAAGCAATCAGGATAAGAGTGGAACCAGTGTATAGTTAAAGAATTAACTAAGATAGGTTTTGTAGCTGGCATGGCTGATCCATGTTTGTTCAAAAGAGAAAATAATGGTGTAATTTCATTGTTGCTATTGTTCACTGATGACATAGCATTAACCACCAAAACTGAACAAGAAGCTACTAAAATAATCTCACTGTTAGAGAAGAAATTTAAGATAAAACAGTTAGGAGAAATCAAACAATATCTTGGTTTAAAGATAGATAGAACTAGAGGAGGATACAAGATCTCACAAGCAGATAAAATTAACCAATTACTAAAAAGTTTTAAAATGGAACTTTGTAAGCCAGCTAAAACACCAATGAGCCAGGAGTTTAGCAATAGTGATGTTCAAATTCCTATTTTTATAAGAACATTTATCAGTCTTTGATTGGTAGTTTATCTTATCTCAGTAATTGGTCAAGGCCAGATATTGCATACTGTGTTAATCAATTAGTGAGATTTAATGCTGAGCTGACTGAAAGGCATTGGAAAGCTGCTAAGCATGTGTTAAGATATCTGAAACAAACAATGCATTATGCATTGTATTTGGACCCTAAAGATGAACTGAGTTTAACTGCATATGCTGATGCAAGTTTTGCTACAGACATAAATACATGAAAATCTACATCGGGTACTGTAGTATTATTGGGAAAGGTGATTGGATGGAGGTCTATTAGACAGAAACATCTAAATTTGTCAACAATGGAGGCTGAATTCTCATGTTTATCTTTATTATGTACAGATTTAGTTGGTTATAAGCAACTACTAATTGACATGGGAATTGATGTAACAGATTCTATTGTTATTTACAAAGATAACCAATCAGCAATACAGATGGCTTCAAATATTGCTGTTAAAACAAGAACAAAACACACAGATTTAAGATATTTAAATGTGAGACAATGTGTGCAAAGTAAGATGATTAAGCTAGAATACTGTATGTCAGAAAACAATATAGCAGATAATTTTACAAAGGCCCAAGGTTCAATAAAGCATAAGGCGTGCTGTGAAGATTTTGGACTTAGAATGTAAGGTTGTATATATTGTCCTACCCAAAAGGGGAGAATGTTAGGAATGTAAGTCACCTAACAGTTATTTGGGTTGGAAATATATAAACTAGGATAGACATTTTAATACTATGTCTTTAAGAGCATGCTAAAAATATAATTGGGTGTGGTTCCACAAATGGCCATAAGATGGAGCCAGAAACCTGGGTTGTTTAGTCTCAGTGAGTCTCTGTTTCTTCTGTTGGAGAGTGTTGCTGCTTCCTCCTAATGACTGTTACTGATCGTTGATGTAAGTCTGTTACTGAACTGTTTTTTGATACTGGACTTTAATATTTGGATTATCCTTGAACTGAACACTGACTGCTTTACCTGTGAATGACTTGGACTGCTTATTTTGGACTGGGCTTAAACGTTTATTGGAAGTAAAAACCTACATTTACTGTACAGTGTATCTGTGTGCTGTGTGTGTGTGTTATTCTTCACTTCTCTCATTACATCTCCCTGTATGCGCTCATTCTCCTTACGGGGAATTACCCCAACAGCATCATTTTGAGGGAAGGAATTGAAACAGTTTGTGTCCGGGATGTGAGGGTTCTGTAAATATTTTCACAGCCTTCTTTTTGACTTGTGCAGTACACAGATCCTCGATGGAAGGGAGGTTGGTAGTAATTGTTTTTTCTGCAGTCCTAATTACTCTCTGGAGTCCGTGTCTGTCTTGTTGGGTTGCAGAACCACACTGACCACACCCACGCCCGGTTTAGCAAAGGGGGAAAAAGTCACGATACATCACACCACCCTGCCGTGATGACACGAGTTTGACACCCCTGATCTAGGTACTGCATCTGTTGTAACAAGTAATGTTTTTTAATTGTTCCAGTTACTTCACAATTCAGTGAAAATGTTTGTCTTGCCCACTCACAATCAGTATTTTCTGGAACAGTATATTATATATCTTTTCAATGTTTCTTGTAAAAAAGTAACATGCATGTGCAGATATGTGTTTTACATTTAAAAGTATGTGAGTTTAAAGGTCTGTTTAGGAGCAAGAGTATTAGTGGTAGTAATCATCATCATAATAATCCTGAGTGTCTCTCTTCATATCTTCATTGTGTTTAACTTGAAGCTTCTGAATAATTGCATCTTCCATTTCAACAGTTCAAACGTTCTTTCTATAATATTTTTCCCATTCCAGTTTCTTCTTATGGTTGTACAAAATGTTATTTATGATTTGTTTCTTCCCCATGCCTAATTCCACTCCTTGACTTTCTTTTCTCATCCTTCAGTGACATGGCTTGTCCTCAGTGAGATATATCCAGCTAGCATACGAGGGAGAGCTTTTGCATTCTGCAATAGTTTCAACTGGGCTGCCAATTTACTGATCAGTCTTACATTCCTTGACGTCATTGGTATGTATAGTATTGTTTTGACATTCTTTGTGGCTGATAACCATAGCAGAACTGATAATAGGGTACACTTAGATCAGTGTTTCTCAATATCAACAGGTGTAAAATGTATGTACTTCACCTCCTAGGATTCTCAATTCTGGGAGTTGAAGTTCGTATGTCTTAAAGTTGCTGAGGTTGAGAAGTCCTGATCTAGACCAAACAAAGGGTCACTGCCTTTGTTTGAGGATCCTGTCTCCTGTTTATTATCTCACTTCTGGAGTCGTGATCAGATATATAATCACTAGAATGTTCCATTTAGACTCAAGCTAGCCAAACTCAAATCCCTGCCAAACCAAAAAACTCAGTTAAAGGCAATCTTAGTCTGTTCTAAGCCAGAAGCTATGCTGTTTCTCATTATTTTCTTGGATGGGCAAAAGTAACATTTAAAAGAAGGTATCATAATGGTGTTATTAGAAAAAGAAAAAATCCAAAGTCCACAGTTGGATAATGTAATTCTTAGGCAATACAGTGTTTTCCTAACAAAACAGCAGATAAATATTTACATGCTTCAGAACTTTGCATCAGAGGAGATAATACCAAGGCTGCAGAAGAAGGTAAAAAATCCAAAATTACACCAGATGTTGTGGTTTGCCATTTAGTGTCATTCTCTAGAATGGGATTGCAGATTGAATGTATTAAGTTGCTAGTAGATATTAAATTAAAAATTACAACTAGTAGTCTGAAATAGTTGTTGATCCAGACATGTACAACCCCAGGTCTGAAATTTAAAAAGCCACTTGTTTTCTATTGCAATAATAAAGACAATTCTGAAGCTAATATGAAGCTACTGTATTTCTGAAGCTCATGTGAAAAAGTAAGTTTATAATCTATCTGATTTTATGAGGTCTATAGAGATTCTTAACCATGCAGGTCATGGTTGAAGAAGAAACCGTAGAAGCTTCTTGGATGAGAAGCAAAACATTTTCAAAAAAGAAGAAAAGCTAGAAAGTCCAGTTATCTTTTGGAAAAGCATCTTTGGAACTTCTGTGAGAAGGGTTGCATTTCTTCAGTTAATTTAGCTGGTTTAAACATTGTTACTTTCAGAAGTTTTTAGAATTATTTTTGTGTTTGGGGTAATATTTTAAAATATTGTCAAAATATTTCAAGTATTGCCAGATATTTTAATTCCAGAAATATTATATCAGCACTCATTTGTAGTTCAGATATACACTGCTCAAGAAAATAAAGGGAACACAAAAATAAGACATCCTAAATCTGAATGAAGGAAATATTCTTATTAAATACTTTGTTCATTACATAGTTGAATGTGCTGACAACAAAATCACACAAAAATTATCAATGGAAATCCAATTTAGCAACCCATGGAGGTCTGGATTTGGAGTTACACTCAAAATTAAAAACACTACAGGCTGATCCAACTTTGATGTAATGTCCTTAAAACAAGTCAAAATGAGGCTCAGTAGTGTGTGTGTGGCCTCCACGTGCCTGTATGACCTCCCTACAATGCCTGGGCATGCTCCTGATGAGGTGGCGGATAGTCCCCTCAGGGATCTCCTCCCACACCTGGACTAAAGCATCCCCCAACTCCTGGACAGTCTGTGGTGCAATGGCGTTGATGGATGGAGCAAGACATGATGTCCCAGATGTGCTCAACTGGATTCAGGTCTGGGGAATGGGCGGGCCAGTCCATAGCATCAATGCCTTCGCCTTGCAGGAACTGTTGACACACTCCAGCCACATGAGGTCTAGCATTGTCGTGCATTAGGAGGAACCCGGGGCCAACTGCACCAGCATATGGTCTCACAAGGGGTCTGAGGATCTCATCTCGGTACCTAATGGCAGTCAGGCTACCTCTGGCGAGCACAAACTGGTCATGTGGAAGATGTTGCAGGCAGCAGAACGTCGTCTCCAGACCCTGTCACGTCTGTCACATGTGCTCAATGTGAACCTGCTTTCATCTGTGAAGAGCACAGGGCACCAGTGGCGAATTTGCCAATCTTGGTGTTCTCTGGCAAATGCCAAATGTCCTGCACTGTGTTGGGCTGTAAGCACAACCCCCACCTGTGGACGTTGGGCCCTCTTACCACCCTCATGGAGTCTGTTTCTGACTGTTTGAGCAGCACATTTGTGGCCCGCTGGGGGTCATTTTGCAGGGCTCTGGCAGTGCTCCTCCTGTCCCTCCTTGCACAAAGGCGGAGGTAGCGGTCCTGATGCTGGGTTGTTGCCCTCCTATGGCCTCCTCCATGTCTCCTGATGTACTGGCCTGTCTCCTGGTAGAGCCTCCATGGTCTGGACACTACGCTGACAGACACAGCAAACCTTCTTGCCACAGCTCGCATTGATGTGCCATCCTGGATGAGCTGCACTACCTGAGCCACTTGTGTGGGTTGTAGACTCCGTCTCATGCTACCACTAGAGTGAAAACACCGCCAGCATTCAAAAGTGACCAAACCATCAGCCAGAAAGCATAGGAACTGAGAAGTGGTCTGTGGTCACCACCTGCAGAACCACTCCTTTATTGGGGATGTCTTGCTAACTGCCTATGCTTTCCACCTGTTGTCTATTCCATTTGCACAAGAGCATATGAAATTGATTGTCAATCAGTGTTGCTACCTAAGTGGACAGTTTGATTTCACAGAAGTGTGATTGACTTGGAGTTGCATTGTGTTGTTTAAGTGTTCCCTTTATTTTTTTGAGCAGTGTATATTAGTCTGTGTGTGGAAGAGGAAAGCCATCTGGTCCTGCTATTAATAGTAAAACTCATCTGAAAAGTATTTATGGCAATTGTCCATCCCCAAGGTACTAAAGTTGGAGAAACATTGCAAAACCATGCTGTTAATGTTTTTAAAACCTTTTATTATTGTTATTACCTCACCCCTGAGAGGTTTTGCTATCAAAATGCTATAAAATGATAATTTAAACTCAATTTAATTAAAATGACTGACAACTTTTAAAAAATGCATCTATTGTTGTAATAATGCCCAGATGAAACTTCTGATTTTGCTAAATGCATGAGTCTAATAAAGTGTAAATTTACTGTTGAAAGGAAATTTTGCAAGAAAATTTTGCAGCTCCATTTAAATAATAGCCTTTGGTAAGCTCCTGATTTCATGACAGCCTTTATCCTATCCCAGCAAATGTGGCTTTATTTCATACATTGATTTTGTTATATTTCTCCATGCAGATGTCATTGGCTTGTCGTGGACTTTCCTTTTCTATGGACTGGTAGGATTGGCAGCTGTATTATTTATTTATTTATTTGTACCTGAAACCAAAGGACAGTCTCTGGAAGAGATAGACCATCAGTTCTCAAAGAAGCGGTATGTCGTAGTGGGTTTTGGCCACAATATTTGTCACTGCTAACACTGACCAATGTAGAAGTATTTTTCCCATATCCTAGAGAATTTGAAATAAGGCATGGTCAATCCATATTGATCTGTTCCTTGTTTTGGCAGGTTGCTGCAAAGGAATACATGCTGGCACAAACTATGGAAAAGAAGAGAAATCTACACACGTGCTCAATATCAAAGAGTAGACCATTCTAATACTTCCTGAAAAAGGAGCCATCTTGTGATATGACACATGGTTATCTATATCATGCTGGAAGTTTTATGGTGACTTTCCCAAAGAAACAAATTCTGGACCATTTCATGAAAACCTTGTATTTATGTGGGTGACAGTATAATTCTTTTTTAAAATAAATATGCATATTTTGTTATATGTAGAATCTAGCACTCCAGCCCCTGGAGGAAGAATATCTGATATATTCATATATTTTATAAATATTTGGTAAATAAAGTACATTTGAGCCTCTTGATTGGATAGTTTGATATAAAGTACTGGGTTTTTTTTTCAACTTAATGGCTTTTGTTTATGCTAAAGGAGATGCATTTGTATCTCCAAAACATTTGGAAAAAACCTCCTCCTTCATCTATTTTCCAATACCTCTTTCAGTTTCTGGGTAAGTAGCATCCTCCCTCTCCAGACAATCCATTGGGACCTGATTATGCTAAACAGTAAGTAAATGCTGACTTTTTTAGAAATCAGACAGCAGAATGTCAGAAAAAAAACACGCAAAAATTTATAGAATCATCTCATTGCTTGCATAGGCTACATCTGATCAACACTGTGATTATATTTTGAATTTCCATAGAATCAAAAGTAAGCACTAACTTCATTTTGCTCTGTACTCCATCTCAAAATGAATGATTGTTACCACCTAAATATAGAAAAAAGAGTTCCTGTACTTTTTAAATTCATTTCTGATTTGTGTAAAACATTATTCAACCTGCCAAATGTATTTCACGGTTCTATTTTGTGAGTGAAGGAGTGGCTTAGATAGTTATGCAATCAGGATTAAATGGTACAACTCAAATTATGGTTTATAACAACTAACATGCAGCATGGAACTTAGCAAAGTCATCTTCTTGTCTCTTGCTGTCTTATCTATTCTTGGAATCACTATTCAATTCATTGGACCAGGTAACTCCAATGTGTGAGATGCTACTGATTCAGGAACCCACTATATCTGTTGAAGTAGAATAATTTATTTTAATATAGAAATCTGGCAGTCCTCGTATAGGATTTTAATATTTTATGCTTTCTATTTCCAGTAAACTTTTATTTGTAATTCAAGTGAAGAGGGTTGATTAGGATTTCTTTGCATCTTTAAGGGATTGCTTCTCCTACATGACTAAAATGTACAGAAACACCGTGGCTACGTTTATTGTGTTTATGGGATAACAGTAAAAGTACATTGTATTGCCTCTGATTCTCAAGCAGTGAAGTAGCCTGCACTTCTACAAACTCTATGAATAAAGAAAAGGAGAGGTGAAAGCCTATTTTGGTGTTTAAATTCTATGCTTCTTGGCATATTTTGCAGAGAAATTGAGACAATATTTTTTTAAAAAACCTCATTCTTCTGTTATCTATTGACTAGCAATGAGATGCAAATTAAAGGTGAAAAACTAGCCCAAAATTACTTCGGGGAATAGTGAATGAACAGATTTTCTTTGCTTCAGAAGAGGACAGAAAAGTAATACCTTCATTAAAAATGGATTATCCAGCTAGAACAGAAGCTAAAGAAGACATGATGACCTGGATGATATAGCCCTAGAGAAAGAACAGCAATCAATGGAGAAGTTGAAGTTGTTGCCATTTCATCCATCCCTCAGAATGACCAATTTAAGCCACTTTTAACAAGATAATTTGGTTCAAATACATTCTCCGTTAAAACTGCAATCAACTAAGTAGCCTTTATCATACAGGCAACATAACTGATGATAATATCAGAAAGAAGCCTTTGGCGTGCGGCTACAATTTAAACTTTAAGAAAGCAGGACATTCTTTTGTCATTTAAGCATATATGGGAGGTGAAGTATCCTTTTTGTTACAGATGTTTAGTGAAGCACTTTTGTCACAAACTTCAAAAAATAACTATGAATATACACACACACACACACACACACAAACAAAAGGGATCTCAGAGGAAATGGCAGCCATCTTGTATCCAGTACTTGAATAAAAAAGCAAAAGCAACTGGAAGATTTCCCTGGGGATTAATATCAGCCTTGGTTGGGAATTGTGTTATAGAATTTATTTTTCAGATCTGCTGTGTGCAGATTTCTCAGATAGGGTTCAGGTGCCTCTTTTCATTCTACTTCCTATTTTATAATCTCTGCCACAAAGCTTAACTTTGGTTGCTAAGGGAAATGTGATGTAATGTAAACTCCTTGTTCAAAGTTTTACTATATTTCTGAGTAAAAGTGACAGAAGGAATAATTTGAGAAAAAATGCTGCTTTCTATATTCAAAGCCTCTTTTATGTGATTCTGCAGAAATTGAAAAGTGATAGTGACTTTACAAGGCAACTCTTCGCTTTTTTGGCTTGTGACACATGGAATACTAATCTTCCATCCTTTCATATCCCATGTTTAAAACATAGGACATACTTACCTGTATGCTTGTATAATTTATTATGCAACTTTTTTATTTCATGCAGGGTAGGGAACCTAAGCCTTCTAGATGTCCTGAGCAGTTCTGAGCATCTCCCATTACTGACCATGCTGGCTAGGCTTCTGGGAATATCTGAAAGACCATGTTTCTCATCTCTACTTTAAATATATCAGATGCAGTGGGAAACCAGAATGTTATGCGGTTCTTATTTCCCAATTAGTGAAAAGTTGTAAGAGAAATACTATTTGAATTTGGATTCCTTTTAAATGAGTAATCTCTGAAATATATGGTCTTTCTGCAATACTTTATTCACAAGAACAGAAGTAGAATTAAGATAAAGAGGAGCAATGTTTAGTATGCTCCTTTAGGTATTGATAAATATTTATTTATGTAAGTTAATTTATAGACTCCTCACATCATACTAATGATTTAAGGCAGGGTTGTCAAACTCGCAGCTTGCAGGCCGGATGCGTCACGCCCTG